AATTATCAAATCATCAAAAGTACTTTTCTAGTAGCCTAGAGGTAATATTTATACTATGAGAAGTCTCTAAGATAGATGTGAACTGAAGAAGCCAGGTTGGGAGGTGGAAGGTCAATGGCCTAGAGCATTCACGAGGTGGTCTTCAGTTTCCACGCGTCTTCTGGGCTTCTGTGCAGTCTTTAATGTTTTGATCATAACTCCTTCCTGGGAAGTCCAAATGACGAACCGTTGGATGCGTTGGAAAGCTAACTTCATCATCTTTCCGACCATGTATGCTATGCACCATGAATTATTGTAGAATGGTACAGTTTTGCATGGGATCTTTAGCTTCATGTAGACTATTGAGCTTCGGAGCAGTCTTCACTAAAACTGGTCGGATGCCACGCTGGACACTCCAAACTGGTCGGCATGACAGCATTGGAAACTAGGCTTCAATATCTCTCCAATAAGTACTCATTCACCTTCATAGCCTTTGGGAGACAAAAGATATGACTGTTTCTTCTGGATGGTTCTGTCATGCTGGGTTGACTCGAACATAGCTCTTCTCTCTGATCCATCCTTGATGTATCCTTGTCTTCCTTCTCGGAGAACCTGAGTAATAACAACATGCACGACTTAGGTAGCTCGAAATTGCCATCAATGTTTAATTGAAATTCACAAAGTAGCGCGTGCACCTCTTGCTGTATCTTTTGGGTGCGGCTACGGGTGATTGGTCCAGTAGGGACTTGGAGTGGTATATCAGCTGGTGAGGTGGTCGGAGAGGTCGCCGAGGTAGGTGAAGTGGTCGGAGAGGTCGCCGAGGTGGTCGGAGAGGTCGCCGAGGTGGTCGGAGAGATCGCCGAGGTGGTCAGAGAGGTCGTCGAGGTCCCCGACGCTGGCGTGGTCACATCACTCAGGGTTGTTGCTCTGACCATGAGAGCATCGTCGCGCCCCACCGTGGTGTGGCCATGGCCACACACCGCCCTCCCCTGTAGATCGATGAGTGCTTCTCTGGCACAGCGAGGCTGAGGGGAGATAAGATATGACAGCGGCTAGGGTTTTGGGCGTGACCCAAGCCGTGTGCGGGCGTGACCGTAAACCAAGCTGTCATGCGGGTGCCGGGTGCCGCCGAGCGGCGAGCGAGGCTCTAGATGGTGGGTTAGTTTCTAAAAAGAAAGAGGGTGTTTTTGCGAAACGTGTAGTGGCCACGCGTCAATTTGCGAAGGAGCCAACAATGCCTCAAATGCTCTCGTTGCAGCTTTTAACAGCTTCCGATTAACTACGGTAATGCCGCTCCACCCATCGCAGCACGCTCCACTCGCCTAATAAAAAACAAAATTAACTCCTGCACGCGTCGTCCCACTCCGCTTCGCTCCCGGACGCGGCTCGGGCTCCGCTCCTGCACGTGACGCTCAACTGCCAGCCCTACTAGATGTGACGCACAACTGTCCTCTCCTGGTTTCAGCACGTGACTATCTACGAGTCGCGTCGGCGCGGCTGTCGGTCCTGCTAGGCGTGCAGCCGCCTAGGAGTCGCGGCGCTCGGCTACCGGCTTTGCCAGGCGCGACGCGAGGCCACTGCCTTCGACGAACTTCCCATGCCAACGAGTCTCCAATCTCCTAAGCAGTAAGGATATATTTACGCTGAAACTGCATGTTGCAAGCGTCTGTTTTAAGTGTTTCAAATATTTCAGAGGTATGTTGCAAGTGCTTCATACAGATGTTGCAAAAAGTAGATCGAGATGTTGCACATGTTGCAATGGTTGTACATGCATGCTGTAAGCCCCCGTTCTCAATGTTTCATCTGTTTTTCCGACGTATGTTGCAAATGTGTTATTTGGATGTTGCATATGTTTTCACACATATGATGCAAATATTTTATCTGGATGTTGCGTATGTTTACAGTGGTTTGAAGTGTTTTAGGTGTTTTTGCAAGTGTTTCAGACGCATGTTTTAAATATTTCATTTATTTTCAGACGTATTTTGCAATTGTTGCATCTGGACGTTTTTAAACTAGATCGAGTATTGCATCTCCCTCTTCGTCTTTTCTACTATCTCGCCTCGGTGTCAGGCACTGGAAGGCGGAGGCGGTCCCCACTGACGTGGACGGGCCTCTCATGCTTGTGGGCGGGCGCAACAGGCGAGACATGGACGGATAGATGGGAGACAAGGGACGGGGGCGCGGACATCCGGACGGGGGCTAGTGTCCGAATGTCCGCGCGCTAGCCATGTCCCCTTTCTTTTCCCACACCTTCTGACAGGACGCCCAGGTCTCCCTCTCCACACGTGTCAGTTTTTCTTATGACAGGCACACACGTGTCAGAACATATGTGGATGAAGGCCAAGGCCGTGCATGTGGATGTGGCCCAGTGCGCAAGTGCCAGACTCCATTTCATCATGGCCCATAAACCCAGGAAGGAGCCCATGTATGTGTGGGCCTGCTGTGGGTCACTCCCCTCCACACTGCGGTGATTGGCTCAGCTAATTCATGGGCCATGACGTGGTCTACGAGAACCATTTACCACAAATCAATCATGCACTCAGATACGTTGCACACCGTTATTCCATTACTACTGCGACAAATACTAGTGTATATATATATGCAGCTTTTTTTTTAGTTGGGGATGGGGGGGTTTGCAAAAACTATGCATATGCAGCCATAATGATATGGGCACCATATATAAAAGGACAGGAGGTCAAAGGGAGCCATCCGCATTGAGATGCGTCCATGCATCATGCAAACAATCATATCCCTGTCACTGAAGGAAAAAAACATGAAAAAACACTAATTATATTGTGTACGGGGGATACAAAGGGAGCGAGGACAGTTTGGTTGTTTGGGATAGATCGCCATATACTAAGACTGGAGACAATATGTTGTAACTCGTTGAGCATAGATCATGAATCTAGGTGACATGATACGGATCGAGCACAAGGACAATTTGAGAAATAAAAAGCGGGATGAATGAAGCAAAGTTAGAGAAGGAAAAAAGCGGATTGAAAGAAATGTTTCGCTAGCTCTTTAATATTAGGTTGAGAATTATTGAGAATTAGAGAATTATTGCCACGTAACTTACGAGCAACACTATTATGCGGTAACCAACCAACCCAACAAATCCTCACCGTCATTGTTTGAATTATTAGATGCATCAACGGATGTCCTCACTCCAATTGCCTTTACAACTTCATTACTTGCATGATCATTACCCCCTTTTATGTTTTCCCTACTGGGACAATGATTATTACACTAATTATTAGTAAGCATGCAAGCTTTCTTTTCTTTTCCTTCTTTTTATGACAAAACTACATTTTTTTCATCCCCTTTCATATATACTACTTTTGAGAGAGAAAAAAAACAATCTCATCCCTTTTCTCCCTACTATGACACCAGTACGTTGCAGCAGTTCCATATATACTATTCTTCTGCCATGCATGCGCAGCATGACTTGAAAGAGACCGAGCGAGGGCCCACATGTCGGGTGAGTGGGAGGATAGTGGTTAACACACACAGCCTTGTTATGGAAGCGTTAATTAGGCTAGCTAAGCCGTGCCACCCTCCAAGCCTCCAACATCCACCTTTCATTTTTTTCCTTTCCCCCAACAAAAGTCCAAGTCTCTAACTCTCTTTTATGTTTAGGTTGCAAAGTCCCTCTCAAGCAACCTACTGCTGGTCGATGATGTGATGATTCTTCTCTTCATTCATTTTATAATCATGCAATCATATATCCTAATCATTTTATCTCAATTTTATTCTGGCGTGTCTACTTGATTATAGGGATTCTCACGAGAGGAAAAGACTGTGCTGTCCTTCCGGCAGCTAAGTTTAAAAAAAAAAAAACTCGACCTGCGAGGGGCAAGCCGCCCCCCGGGCATTATACGTAAGAAGAAGGCCTTCTCACACAGGCCGAGAAAACCCCTGAACCTTGGCCCCGGCCCGACACTGGGAGATGTAATCCGTGAGATGGGCCGTCTCCTTTAAACCAGTGCTTTGGCACCCGGGACCGGCGAGGGGATTTTTTTAACCCCCAGCCTGAAATTCGCTCCCACTGGGAGTCGAACTCAGGACCTGAAGGGTGCCACCGGAGTGACTAGCATATCTTAGTTAACCAACTGGACTAGCCATCCTTTGGCAGCAGCTAAGTTTATATACTACAACATTTTCATTTCATTTGATAATTTGGGTTTCACATTCCTTCTAGCTTGTCCTGTTTATCTCAGTTCCCAAGCTAGCCACGAAACCGATAAAAAGTTATAGAGCCAAAAATGTCCAATCTTATCTGCGAATACTTTATTTGGGGTCAACTAAGCAGATTTTCATCTGCACTAATTATGTCTTAAAAAGTCTTTGGTACAACGTACCCTCTACGTTTCTACAGTCCTGTCCATGAACAGCCTGTTTTAGGTACACAGTAGTTAGCTTAGCTTGGCCAACAATGGACAATTGTACCTAAGCTTGCACTGAAAGTGAAATAATCCAGAAAGACAAATGCCTGCTCGTACTTTATTTAGCACCATATACATTCATTCATTCCTTCATTCTTTCTGGAATAACCACATTTTGCATGATGATTGGTTGTTGTACTACTAATAATCTTTTGTCGATCCATCATATAATCATTCCATCTGAATGAACTGAAAAAAGGAGGAGAGATACCCGGGCGAGGTCAGTTTAGTCAATGTACTACTTTGGCATACAGAGGTGTCCACAGCACACCGACTAGACACAGCACATTTATGAAAACCCAGGAGAATTTTTTGATTTCAATTCCCCTGATTGTCTCAGTCAGCAACCACCGCGTACCAGTTCTAGAAAAAGAAATCGCAGCACACCATCCTGCAGGCTGCCCCTCTTCTCTTCTCGCATTCGTTTTTATACCCTCACCCAACGCAAGGCCGTGGCGACCAGCTTGCTGTTAGCACCACTGCAGAGCACCAGAAGCAGAGGGAGGAGGAAGAAGGAGAGCAAGGCGAGGCGGCGGCGGCGGCAGTAGCGGAAGCATGGACTGCTGCATCTGCAGCCCCATGGCGTCCGTGTACAGGCTTCCCAGGAACACCATCTGTGCTCCCTGCCACGAGGGCGCCAAGGCCATCATCGGATTTCTGAACAAGGCTGATGAGCAGCAGCAAGAAGAGGGCGGCCATGGCTCTGTTCTCAAGTCCAGAGTGTCCATGATGAAGCCTGACAGCGCAACCAAGGTACGTACGAACGATTTTCCCCAATTATTCAGTTCCTTACTGTTTCTGAATACATTCTAGTTGAAAATGCCATTATTAAATACTAATCCTCTTGTCGATTTTTCATACTGCTAGAATTGCACATCTGAATCTTCTGAACCAACACTGTTGTTTGTTGTGATATCATAAGGTGTGCTAGTTGTTCATTCACGTTTGTTTTGCTAGCATATACCAGTGTTGTTTGGTTTCTAGTCAGCTGCATGTCACAATCTCAGGACGACGTTTGCTGCATGCATGCTTCAATAGAATAGAAAGGTTCTGTAAAAAGTGACCCCCGGACGTTAACGGGCCTTTATAAAGTTATTAGTTTCAGGCCTTTCAGCAACCGCCTTTTACGCTTGTGTCGTGTTATTAGAACATACGGTTCCGAACTCCCTAAGGTTTTGCTTTGCAGCAAACATCTCAGAAATGCAGTGCAGAGTGTATTTTCCTTGATCCTCGCTCATTCTCAGTATGTTCAATTTTGGTGCCTTTTCAGTAGAGACGTTCAACTCTTTCCCTAACCCCCTGCCATTTCGATTGGTAGAAAATCCAATATGAAAGCCTGAATGATACCAAGACTACTAACATGTAAATGTAATTAAGGAAATGATTTCTGCCTTACAATCCACGCTCAAAGTGTAAAGTAGTAGCAGGCAACAAGATGACACCGAAATCTATCAAAGGTGATTTTTTGCCAAACAAAATTCAGTTCGTTTTCTGAACCAACCAACCAACCAATGCAGGGGACGAAGGACGCGTGGGAGCAGTTGAAGGAGATGAGAGGCAGGGAGGAGGAGGCCCATCAGAGAGCTGCCTTCCTCGCGCAGGGCCTGGCGATGGCGTGGAAGGAGGGAGTCCACACCGACATCGTCGTGAAACCGGGCGCTGGGCCCCCAATCCCGGCCCACAAAGCCATCCTGGTAAGTAAGTGGGCTGCATACTGGTTGCGAACAAGTGGGCCTTCATTCCCTGCATGCATTTCAAACGAAGCCCAGCCAGCCCATGAGATAATTAATCTCACGTCTGATCTGATGCACACGCACGCACGCAGGCCGCGAGGTCGGAGGTGTTCCGCCACATGCTGGCCGCCGACGAAGCGCCGCAAGGCCCCGCCGGGCGACGCCATCTCCTCCCGGGAGCGGACCCACGACGAGCTCGCCCTCTTCCTCGCCTTCCTCTACACCGCGCTACCGGAGGACGGACGGGCGGCGGCGGCTCCTCCAGGTCCCGGAGGAGCGGCAGCGCACGCGCGCGCTCCTCGTGGCGGCCGACAAGTACGATGTCCCGCTTCTGGCGGGCTCGTGGGGCTGTGGGCCGCGCGGGCGGCGGCGGCTCAAACGTGGGCGCCTCGCAGACGTGAGCTGCAGCCAAGCGCGCCGGAGGCGCCATGCACGAGGTGGAGCTCGCCGAGCGGCTGTTGTTGTCGCCGAGGCGCGCCATGGACACGGTGGTGGAGCACGCCGAGCAGGCCAAGTTGTCGCGCCCGAATATATAGGCGGTTTGTGTTATTATGAGAGAACACGGTTTGTGTTATTATGAGAGAAACGTCTCCGTTGCAGGTGACCCATCATGGACCGTTCGATCTTGATCCAACGAATGATATGGCTTCGCTCTCTTCTTCTTCCTCCCCATTCTTCCTGCTCGCCCGGCGGCGCTCTGCTCCTCGCCCCTGCCGCCGCCCCCAGCCCCGCCGCGGCGCGCTAGGGCCGCGAAGCTCCGGCCGAGCCCTAGCGCGCACCGCGGAGGCTGCCTTCATCGGAGCGCTTGCCGGAGCTCTCCTGCCCCGACTTGGCCCGTCTCGCAAAATGGATTTACAGAGACGGACAATTAATTTACGCAGGTGCTTGCGTTTCCCAGCGCTTGCGGCGGCGGTGGGCCGCTCCCCCGGTGTGGGTGGTTGCCCTCGCGGCGGCGATGGCCTGCTCTCCCTCCACCACCCACTATCGGACAGAGCATCTTTGCCGAGAGCCTGACCCTCGGCAAAGAACAGCCCTCGGCAAAGACTCTTTGCCGAGTGCCAGACCCTCGGCAAAGACAAACACACGGCAACAATAATCCGGCCCTCGGCAACACCGCCTGACACGACGTCCATCCCCTGCCGTCAATCTTTGCCGAGGGCATCACCGTTAGGCCCTCGGCAAAAACTTTTTAACCGTTTTTGAATTTTTTTTAAAAAAATTCTTTGCCGAGTGCCCCTGTCCCAGCACTCGGCAAAGACAGTCTTTGCCGAGTGCCAAGCTGGCACTCGGCAAATTTTCAATTTTTTTTGTTTTTTTGACCCCAAATTTTTTGTTGGGCCTGCCTACATTGTTTACAACTTCATGTTCAAATTTGGTGCTTTTTCTAATTTTTTTGTTATATTTGGTTGATTAATTTGATAATGTTGAATTTTGATATATAATTCAAATTTGAACTGCAAGTGCATGGAATATTGTAATCTAGTGCTTCGAAAAATGTTATTCATGGTATTTGGTGTATGTTGAGTCTCTATCCACGAACTCGCATCAAATTTAAAACAATCTTCTTCACGTAACATGACGAGCCACTTGCGGAAAAAAGTGTTTTAAAATTATATAAAGTCCATCTGAAGTCCAAAAAATCACGAAAAACTTGTCGAGGTGTCATGTTATCGCATGTGTAGGCTGTGGTAAAAAATTGAGAATGTTTCGAGCAAGTTGCGACGTCGGATGCATAGGATGCGCCTCTGCCGCCCCTCACGACCTCGGCTCGTGTTGTGATCTTCACAAGGTGAGGAGATAATGCATTTTCCTAGAAGACAAATAGGTGTATAAATTTCAGTTCTCATGCATAGATTTAGGAGTTAGAACTTTAGGAGTTAGAATCATTTGTCACACTACTACAGAATGGACTTGTTGTCCCAAGGCGGTAATGACCTTTAGTCCCAAGTTATCACAGCAGGGACAACGATCCCGGACTAAAGGTGGAACCTTCAGTCCCGGGTCATCGAGCCGGGACTAAAGAGGGACCTTTAGTCCCGTTGGTAACACCAACCGGGACTAAAGGCCCTCCAGCCAGCAAACTCAAGGCAAGATTTTTAGTCCCGTTGGTAACACCAACCGGGACTAACTGTTCATTTTAGTCCCGTTGGTAACCCCAACCGGGACTAAAGGTTCCTTTTCTTTTTTTTTTTTTGTTTAATTTGTTTTCAGTTCGATTTACGTATTTATTTAATATATAATATGTTTTTATGTACATATTCTACGCTGCTAATATAAATACACGCATGCATATAATTACATCTAATTCTCATCTTGAGCATTATTATATTCGAATAAAGTATGAAACTATATATATTATAGATATATATATGTATATATACAACACTTTCATAATCTTGTTCTCGAAAATAATGATATCAATAAACATTTAATTTACATCATTTATTCCTTAGGATCAAAGTAGAACTCGCCGTTGGGATTTAGCACTTTTTCTAGAAGATATCCTGCTATTGACTCTTGAACTGCTTTGAGATGGTCTTTTTGCATGACCCTTCGTTTCAACCATTCAGTCTTGCATTTGAAATAAAAGGAAAAGTATTAATACACATATATGTATATATATTCATTTAAAAATAAATAAAATTGATATATACGTACTCGAGGACATCTTCGAGTTCTTCTTATGTGCGATGATAAATTCACAAACGTAGTATCCACACAAGTTATTACACGGTTCCCGCCAGAAACACCACTTTATTTAGAGAAGAAGATTATTCTCATCATCTCACACATAAATTGAAGTACGATATAGTAATTAAACACGTGGGGAAGTGTATATAGTACAACTTACTGGTATTTCAACTACATTAAGTGGTGCCTTGCAATCCTTGCGATGTTGCCGAATAAACTCTTTCCAAACCCTATGCGACCAATAATATACGATCGTTAATAAATTATGGCAAAGTCTATTCAATAATAGTTGTGCGCGAGAGATCGAAATTACCCCTAGATAATGTCTATCATATCTTGGTATAGTGCCCGTTCTTTTCTCAACGAGTCAAAGATTAGTAACCGACTTGAGTTTAACTCAATGACAATGAGTATCCAGTGAAAACTGCATTGGTTTATACACACACGTACATGCATATAAGTTGTATTGATATTACATAAAATGTGTAGACTACATTATTATTAACACTTACTCAAAGTTGTACGGGAAAATTATTGTTGTCTTGTCGTGCTGCTTCACGAAGAACATCATGATATTCTCCTGCTTTCGAGATACCCATCGCTCCTTGACAATAATACCGATTTTGAATACGATATAAGGATCAATGAAGCCAACACTGGTGTCTTGTATTCTTTGGAGCTCTGACATCTGGAATCTGTATATAAATATAAGTTACATGTAAGGATAATTATATACACGTACGCATGGAAGTGAGTTTATTAAATAAAAGTAAGAATCACTTACAAACAAAAGGAGCTAATGATTGATTTGTCCAGAGCGTCCATGTGGTATAGTTGATGCAATTCTTCGAAACTAATATGTAAGATGTCATCGCCATGGAAGTAATGATGGTCTCTAAATCTGACAAAGATCCACTGCTCACCCCTGCCACACGCCTGCATGTATCACTTGTTGAGCAAGTACATTTGCGTACCCAATTCATTCAGAGCCGCAGGGTTGTACAGACTTTTGCCATATTTATAAGTCTTTCAGGTATCAACTTCCAGGTTCTGGATTGGAGCTTTGCCCATCAATTGATCCAAGGTTAAACCAGTATCTTGAAAAAAAGCATTAAGGGCTTGAACCGACACTTCTCCAGAGTTGTCTGGTCGATAGACTTCTATGTTGGAACCATATTGATTAGCAACAACAAGATTTTGCATTGGTTGCTTCTGTTGTCCGAGCTATGGGACATCCTTCCCTGATGCTCTTTTCCTTTTCTTATCTGCATCATGTGACTTCACGAGGGAGCGGTCATAGTCTGATAGTGGTGAAGGCTTACGAAGTTCAATCATCTTTTTCTTGTGAGCATCGACCTTCTGCCTCAGCACCTCTCATGGTAGGTAAAAGTACGGCTTCTCCTTAAGCTTCGCTTGACTCTTCTTTTTGGTATCTATAAAAAATCTTTCACTTTTTTGTCTTCTTCAACTGCTATTTGCTCATCAGTCTTTTCAGAAAGTATTTCTTGAGAAATAACTCTTTTTCTCGGGGTCTTCTTTGCCGCCGGGACCTTAGACGTCTTTGTAGTGCATCGCTGTGGAGGGGGTGGGGGCGGTGTTGGAGACCGGCATGGAGGCGATGTGGCCGATGTTGGTGGAGACCGGCGTGGAGGCGTTGGAGATCGTTGTGGAGGCGGTGGGGCCGGTGTAGGAGTTGGAGATCGTTGTGGAGGCAATGGGGCCGGTGTAGGAGTTGGCGATCGCCGTGGGGATGAAGTCGTCTCGCCCCCCGTGACGCTGTGATGAGATGGGGAATGAATGATTAGGCTAGGCTGGGGGGAGACCCTGCTACAAAAACAAGTTGTGTGTCAATTAGTTTTTAAGCCAATAGAAAATTAATGGAAAATAATATTTCATTCACTTTCATTCATACCTAGGGTGAGGTAGGGGAAGCGGTGGTGCCCCAGGAATGATGATGAAGCGTTTGCGCCATTGAATAAATGTCTTCTCTACTTCTCCTAGTGTCTTCTCCCCATCACCGCCTTCAATGTCAAGAGGAACATTGCTGTAACCTTTGAGCACTCTATCGACCGAGACGCTAGCATATCCAGGTTGAATAACTGACCCATGGATTCTTGGTGTCTTCGTTCGGTCTATTGGAGATACAACCCCGACAGCCACCATGATTGATGCATTATTACCATCTAGAATGTGCAGCTCACATGTTGTTAGAGGCTCGGTAATGTCATCAATAGGGAAGCGCAACCCAGCGTCGTCTTGAATAACTGGCAGCTCCGTAGAAGCACAACTGCTTTTCATCTGACCAACGAGGCTAATGGTGACTCCCGGCGTTGATTGCGATTGCATTTGACTCATTGCTAGCTGCACTTGCCTCTTGATCTCCTCCTGCATTCTTGCCTCAAGAGATTTTTCTCGTTCACATGATTCAAGCAATGCTTGTCGTGACTCATCAACAAATTGCTCCAATGCACGGATTCGTTCTGCCTCCTCATCCTTCTTTCTTTGGCGGCTTCTGTAGGTATCCTTGTCTGCTGGGAATGCGTGTAGCCACGGAATCGCCCCATAGCCTCTTGTTCGACCACCGTGTTCAGGATTCTCTAGGGCATATGTCAATTCATCCTTCTCTCTGTTGGGCTTGAAAACACCACTATCAGCTTCTTCCCTAGCACGAGCTAGTCTCTGTGTTGCTCTCTCAATTTTTTGGCCGAAA